CTATGACAGCATCATTTATTCACATACAAAAATATGGAAAAATTAGGTTACTATTTCCTTTATGAAGGTCTTATGTATATTACAAAGCTGCGTCCAGGTCATAAGAAACCAATAAATGAATATTAACCTTGGAAAGTAACTACTAAGCTACATGTGGCCTAAAACTAGACACTTGCTTTTAACCCAGCCAACTCTACATAAAAGAAATTCTCACATTTGTTCAAGCTAATGTCATCCATGCTAGCAGCACGTCATGGTTATTTGGTAAAATTTTGTCACATGTTCTCAATTTTTACAGGTAATGCATCAAACAGAAACAGTAACTAACAGGTTACCAGTGTTTTTTCACGTTCAGATGCCTACTGGGAAAAATATATTTTAGATTATAAGTAGTTTGGGGCAAGGACTTTTATGCCTCACAAAGCAGTATATGCTATATAAATAAAATGTACAACTACAATAATAAGTAGCAAAAGCCTTAGAGAATATGTGTAACTAACTTGCTGCAATAAATGAATGCTAGCTACTATGGTATGAAAGAGTGTTAAAATATGAGGCAAACTCCTTAAACTTACATTTATGTAGAAATGTGTGGAATTCATGTTTTACTGCAACTCATATATTTCATGCATTCTTGCTTGGCCCACTTCTCACCTTTTCTCTTTCTCTTATATTCTTTATCTCCATATGAAGTTGTTACTTCTCTCTTTTGTATTTCCATCTCTTTGCTACACATTTCTTACTAGATCATAATAAAAGTTGTAGATAAGTAAGACTGTGTGTTTTTTGTTGTTTATATTGTGAACATTTGTGGTAGAAATCAAATCCTGATCTTCTGGAAGGACTCTCTTATTATAGTAGTTGCATATATTACAAGGGGAAAAGGGTAAGATTTAGTGACACCCTCTCAAAAAGGCATTGTTCAAACTTCATTCAGAGCATAACCAAAGTTTTGACCAACTTCAGACAATCACTGAAAGCTTGGAAGAATCTATTTGAGCAATAATTCTTCCTCCACAATTCAGTCTGATTTTGCCATTTCTATTTAAGGACTAAAGATGAGCCTAAAGATCCATCTCATTTAGTGTCCTGGTTCCCACTGCGGCCAATCAAAACTTGAGGGCAACAACTCTTTTCTCTAAGCAGCTGATATTCAAAGGCATGTTACCTCTGCATGGACCTTGTTTATAGCCCTTCTAATTAGTAGTCATTAAAGCTAGCAGTCATCAAATGCTGTGGCAGTCGATGCCATTGTTAAATTATGCACTTTGCAAAGATATACTTGTTTTGCTTCATTGTGTCCTAACAGAGGGACTTCAATGGGTCATCACCAGCTATTGAACTTCTCCCATTTCCTTTGGGTTTTGGCCAAATTTGGGTAAAATTAGTGGACTACTCTTTCAGTGGTATTCAATATTTACAAAGTCTTTTCCATAAAGATTGGTTTCCTTTCATTGCTTTCCATACAAGTCAGTGATGGAACAAAGACAAAATTAATGAGAGGCTTTTATAGCAGTGGAGGGAAAGTGTGCAGACCACAAGTATGCCATGTTCCAATGAGATCTGAAGAACGCAAATCATCAGGAAGAAAGACTTCAGATGCTAACTGTTATCCAATTAAGTTTAGCATAAACAGCCCAGAGAGATGAAATCTTGATATCAGAGTATCACATTTGTATGAGGATTCTCAGACATTTGATCACAATGCAGCATAAACAAACCATCAGCCCCAGTGTTGGTGGCAACATCTGAGATCAACTAGCCTGCACCCCCGGCAAAGCAAGACCAAACTGGTTTCAATTCCTGTCTCGGCAATGATAGGGAAGATTTCTAGTGCTTTAGCTCTGTCCTTATATCCAAATGGGCCTGATGCTTCCAGAGATATATCAGGTTGGCAGCTGACCTTCAGAGAGCAAAAAGAAAATGTTTCTGTTACCTGACAACTGACAATGATATCCAAATGTGCCTGATGTCTCACTCTGAGACCCGCCAACTGAGATTGCGCGCGCACCACAGCAGGGCAGGCTCAGGCAGGGCGGGACTGAGGTTAGAGCACGGAGAGGTGGCGGTGCGATCACTGATGCATGAGGGTGGGAGGAGGCAGTTATGGAGGCCGCCGGCAGCTTTGCAGGCCTGGACGGCCCTGAGGAAAAAACAATAGAAAAATCTGTCAGTGGTACCGATGTTTGAAAGCAAAGATGGAGAACAGGAGCAATGTAGGGCTGGCATTACTTACAGTACATATTTGCTTAACAAACTGTAATGTGAAGATGGAATAACCTTGAGGAACTGGAGGAAAAGCTGCAACCAAGACAACGGTCAGATAAAAGAAATCTGAATCTGGGCCAGAACTGTAACGTGAATATGTGTCTCAGAAAAGACCCTCCCTAGTTCTCAGGAAGATAACGGGAGGGAGGGGGAAGCGCCTTGGGACTAGCATGATTGATGTCAGCCTTTCATAGTAGACCAGACTAAGAAACCAAAGACATGAATGATAATACTACTTTTATTATAAGGTTATAATAAAATAATCTTGCAAGTCTGAATGCACTTCTCCCTCTCTCCCTATCTTCCTGAGACCTAGGGAGAGTCTTGTCTGAGATACTTTCTCAGGTTACAGTTCTGGCCTGGACTCAGACTTCTTTTATGTGACCATTGTCTTGGTTGCGGCTCTTCCTCCTGTTCTTCATGGTTATTCCTTCTTCCCATTACACAAACTCACACGGCAGAGAGAGAGGGTGGTCAGTAGAAACGCCTTGCTCTTCACTCAGGCCTTTCCTATACGAAAGCTGGATGAATGTTTCTTCCCCTTTTCTTTTAAATACCTAATGTGTTAACACTATTTATTTGTAAACCATCAAGGTACAATTGTATGGGATGCAGCATAAAAATAGTATAAATATATAAATAAGTGAATGAACAAAGGTTGTAGTCATAATACCAAAGACAAAACTTGTCTATGAAAATCATACTCAGTGCCTCTGATTCAGATGATAAATTTTGAACATTGTTATTTTATTTGGTTTGGCTGTTTTGGGGGGTTTTTTTGGTCTGTATATTTGCTGAGGGAATATTTTTTTTGCCTACCTCACATCTTCTCAAAGGAAGGGACTATAAATATAAATATGTAAACAATTATTTTTGTGTTATTTTTCTTCTTCCTCAGTAACTCTCAAGACATTGGTAGATTCAGTATACAGCCACTAGCATCTTAGTCTATCTCTGGACTAGATTATTACCTGTTTATTGGTTCTCTTTCTCTTTCTCTTTTTAATTCCTGTGTAGTATAAGCAAAAAGTTTATGGACAGAGTTTAGCTATGTATCACGTGGCAAAATGGCCGGCATCCTAACAAACTTCTGTCAGTCTCCAAAAATGTGTGATTTATTTCTGGAAGCGCCAAGCAGCAAAAGAAATGTGCTTTAAAAAGAACATGCCAGTTGTTGCATACAAATATAAATTCATACTGTTGTTTTGTTTGTCCTAAAAACCAAAATAGTTGTACAAAAAAAATTATATTTAGATAACAGTTTTCCAACAGTGTATTAAATAACTGTGAGTTGCTAAAATCCTCTTGGTAGCTTGTGTGTTTTTTACCCACTCTCAGGACCTGCTCTGACCATAATTTGCCAGGTCAAAAAACACTACCTCTGATAAAACAGATTTGTACATAGGAAATATCCTGCCACAATAACCCCGTAAGAGATCTCAGCAACATTCCTGCTGCTATAAAGAAACACACTATTCACCAAAAATGGAAGAGTGATAGGAAGGGACGATGTACAAGATAAGTCATCTTAGAGGCAGTATGGAGCCAGAGGGCATGTGCTTAGGAACCAGATCGAAAGGGAGATTACTGTTTTATGGCCGTCCTAATCCAACTCACCAAGAGAAAAAGGGGGAGAGCTGCTTGCCAAGTTACTACTGAACCAGGCCCAGCACGCTAACACAAAGTGCCGCAACTCATAGCTCAAGCAGCTTCACAGAAGTGCCAGGAATCGAGCTCCCAGAATAAAGCATTTATGGGCCATCATGGCTTCGTCGCCACTTGAGCTGTAGCCAATAATACATTCTGCATGTTCTATTTCTGTATTATATTTCCCATGTTAAGTCTATACAGAACATAACCTTTCTTTGTTGCTAATAGCTGGAAAGAAGCACTGTATCCTCAAACTGTATTATTCATTTAAAACACATACACACATATCTAGAAATCATCTGTTATTTAGAACTGTATTTAGTCTCTGCTTCTGGTGCGTTGGAAATGCTTTCCCTCTTGCTCTCTTGGCAGTAATCAGAATGACTTAAGCAATTAAATAAAAGCGTAACACAGACACTTATTGCATGAAGTTAACTTTTAGTCAGAACTCAGGCTGCTGTATCCAGTTTTCAATAAGTATTCAAGTATTTGGCTACAACTAACGTTTACCTGATGCCCTTGAATCAATATAGTTACTGTAATAATCAACACCAGTTTCTGTAATAAGCTTACAAGTCTAATAGGCTGACAATTTATTTTATGTGAATTTCATAGATGAAGGAGTTTAAAAATACCTGACACTGCATGTTTGTAATTTCCAGCTATTTAAATAAAATACTTATCTACACTAGAATATCCCCCCAAAAATCACATTTTTGAAAGAAATAGGAATACAATAAAACAAATAATAGAATGCATCCTATAAAAACACCTAAGTTTGTTCACTATTTACATTCATACTATCAAAACTGTCAAGCCACAATGGAATACGGGGATTAGGGAAAGGAAATGTAGCCACATTTACCTTCCATAGCCATTTTCTACTCAATACCTTTGTTCCCACTCAAGGATTCAATGAGCTATTGGTTTTATTTTAGAAATTATCCAAAGGTATTTAAATTATACTTTTAACAGAGAAAGTGCCTTGGTCAACTTGGTGGATGTCAGGGATAAGAAACGGATCCCCTGTAATATCATAAGAATGCTTTTGGATGCTCTCAGTATGCTTCTAAATATGTCTAGTGGGATAGACTTGTATTACAATATGGACACTATATTATAGTACCTAAAATAGTGCTAAAGGACACCTGTTAGCATTATAGCGATTGCCTATTGTGTCCCATGCAGTTCTATTCTTTTATGTTATTTAAAAGGTACTTAAAATCACTGAAAGAAATCATTTGAAGTGTACTGTCATCAACATATAGTAATAACTCTTAATTGTACTGTTCTCTGTCACCTAACTCTAAGGTAACATGTAATACCTTTGAAAACTGCTTGTGTTCAATAACAAACTGGATGAAGGCAGAGACTGAATCCAGATAAGATACCAACATGCTATGATTAGCAGAAACCCTTAGCTAGGTATTGGGATCCACTCTGTTCTGGAATATGTCATTCTGTTCATAAAATATCATACTTGTAGCTTGGGACTGCTGTTTAGTAGTAAAGGACCCCTGGATCTACAAGTGGTGGCAATGGCAAGGAATATAGTAAATTATTACTTAAAATTTGCCATCTGTGACCATTCCAGAGTCAGTATGATCTGGCAACAAGTGCCTTGTTCATATCACACTTATCACATCATACAGCAAGCTTTTTCACATTGGGCTATGCTTGAAGAACTTCCAGAAGAATCAAATGGTACAAAAAGGAACTGCCGAGCTGCAAAGCAGTACATGGTACTGTATTATGATCATATCACTCAAATGCTGAAAGTTCTGCAAAAGTTGCAATTGCTTTCTCTTATCTGTAAACAGCTTATGTGCTGATTACCTACACAACTACCTGCTTCTTTATGAATATGCCTGAGTATGAGCAGAAACAAACATTCCTGGTTACAGTTGCCTGTATGCTGTATTTCAGACTGTTCTCCATTGGGAGCTAAAACTGGTCCATCTCCTTTGCTTTTCAGGAAAAAAAGACTTCTTTTTAATCTGCTATTCAAGTGGGGAGTCTTTTAATATACTAGTAATGGTTTAAAGTTGTTTCAATGTTTCAGTACAGTTTTATTGTTTTATGCCTTTATTAATTGCTATTGTTATTGGATTTATTCCATCTCAGACACATCTGAGGAAAAGTGACATATAAATACTACTATAATATAAACAAACTATAACTATTACTTATGATTTCCTCCTTCTATTTGAAGCCAGAACAAAGAAGGCCTAGTTTTTCATTAAAAATAGCATTAATCCTCCTAATGTTTTTTCATCTCAGTTTGTCCCAGTCTGAAAACTACAGCTAGCATGTTGATCAGATAGCTACAGATGTGAGTCCAATAGAAGTACTTCATCTTTGGCACTGCATTCAGCACTCGAGTCTGCATGGGCTGCATTTGATTTTGTCATTTATCTTAAATGGCTAAGAGACTACCAGGGCAAAACATTTGTGTGAAGTTGTTGCCAAACCACAAGTGAAGGGCCTAAATCCTTGGCACAAATACTTGAGCTCCACAGCATCAAGGATAAATTGTGTGTCCTTTGTGATTTTTATTTTTTTTAAAATAGATTCTGGACCTTCAGATTATTTACTCCTCACTCCCCCACCTTCTGATCTCATTTCAAATTATTACCCAAACAGGTAAAATAAGACACTGACAGAAACTGTACCTACATTACAATCTGGAGGTGACTTCTCTGCCGAGCCAATGAAAGCAGATGGCAGACGTGGAATGTCTAAATATACATAAATAACTTTCCTTGGCATTTAGAAAACGCACAAATAGTGTCATGATCTTTTAATACCTCAAGAAAGACACATGAACAAAGAAGGACCCCAAAATTATTTTAAAATGCTAGTTTCTACTTTTTTTAAAAAAATCTATGTCTGTTCTATTTATGTAATGTTGCAATTACTACTGACACTATTAGTTTCATCGAACCTACAAAGTATGAGTGTTGTTGATTCTTTATGTGCCTCACATTCACTGTGATAATTGCTTCCCAGAGCTAGAGAAAAAACTTGTTTGTCAAAATCACTAATCTCACTTCAAAGCAGCCACAGGCTGAGATTATATTTTCAGAAGAGATTTTTGTGACAGCTTGACCCCCACACACACTTTTTTTAAGCTCACTTTACAATTTTGCTCTGATTTTTCTCCACTCTTATTTTCTTTGGCTATCATATCTGTGTTTAAAAATCCGGACAACCACTAGATGGTAGTAAAGAATTAGAGTTTTCTGAATCTGTTTGCTGCCATCTACTGGTGTTCCGGGTTTTTGCAGCCCAGGTATGACAGGCC